TAAAGGCTTAGAATTACTCAAGGAAGAAAAGTAGGATGGCATTCATGTGCTAAAAATATCACTGTGATGAGTGACAATTTTCTTTTCCTATCTGACAGTCACCAGCAACTTAAGCTGTTACACAGAGAGATGACATCCAGATATGGTGAGAGAGAAGTTTAGGCACATCTGGAATTATTTTTTACGTCAGATAGATCTGTGAATCATCAATTGGAATTACTGGTAGGAATTAAGTTGGAGAAAAACAATCTTGTGGCCATGAAACACAGATTCTTATCCCAAGAGGAAATTACTGGTCACATCAATTGTCAGAAAACTTGGAGTAAATTGTTTGTGATCAGCCATTTTTTACCTGTGATACATGACTGATTTTAAATTTGTTCCTCTTGATGCAGTTGAAAAGTCCCTTGCAATGGAAAAATGTTCTTGACCTCACTTGATTCCAATTGTTTTTGTTAAAAATGCACCTTTCAAGTTTTATGCCTTAATTGCAAAAATTATTTCCATGTAATTTTAAGTGTTAAATCTAAAAATACAAAATTTAAGGGTGCATGTTTCTTTATCATATTAAGTAGACTTATTATAAATAATTATCTTAAACACTCTCTTTTTAGACGATGTTTCTAAAGTTGTCACAGAAAAACTTCCATTCAATGATACAAGTGAGTACATCATGGCAGCTGGGTATTTCCAAGCCTTTAAACAGGAGTAAGGCCAAGGGTGACCTTGTTGTGATACAAACCTTGCTGCTTTTCAAATATAAATTGCCTTGTTATCATGCTAACTAGATACTAATGTCTATCACAACAAGGTCACCTTCAGCCTCACTTGAAATCGAAGGCTTGGCAACGAAGTACACAACTGTAAAATGGTCCATTGTCAATGTGAGAGTCATTGACCCTTACTTATTTCCCTTCATTACTTTTTGTTAAATTGCAGGCATCAGAGAGCTGAACAAACTTAATGTACCAACACATGATCGTAGGCACCAGGTAAAAAATAATGCCTTAACCCTTCACCTAACATCAGTATTCATGTTCTTCATGCTGATTTCTTAGCATTTCTTACAATTCTTACAAGGAGAATTTGCTTAACAATCAAGAGCCTTTGTTTGTTGAAACACTTATGTGAGAATCTCAAGATAGATAGATAGATAGATAGCTTTATTCAAAATGGACAAAATACTTAGCCCAAGACTAGTTTACAGGTTTGGGACATAACAAAAAGATCAGAAAATAATGCAATAATAATGGTGCTTATTTGTATAATTTCAACTATAACTTTCCAACCACCCCACCCCACCCCACCCTACCCCCCCAGAAAACATGTAGTGGTCCTTCACTAAAATTATCTAATTTGTAACAAAGGAATGCTAATTTTTTTATAATTTACTGGATTCCTGCAGGTGAAAGCAAAGGAATTAATTTGTCAAGCAGTTGAACTCATTCGTGAGCTTGTATCAGGAATGTCAAACTTTCTTACCTACACTGAACAGGTATTTAAATTTTTCTTTTTAGCAGTTGTTGAGTGTCATGTCTTGTCTTTGAAATAACTTAACTTGTATTTTAAAAAAAACATTTCAGTATTATGTGTTTTTGTCAGTTTTGTGTTTTCTTTTTTTCTTATTTGCCCTGAATAGCATGTAACACTGGATTTTAAAATAGTTTAAACCTAAAACTTTTCCACTTTACAGCGACTCAAGACCTTCTTTATAGAATCAGCTCAGCTGCAGATTAGTCCTGTCACACAGAAGGTGATGCACTGACTTCACTGGCACAATAGTGCTACTGATTTTTTTGTTCATTTGCTAGGTTTTGCTTTTGCACTGAGTGACATACTCTTGTAGTATATGTAAACTGCTATGAAAATGATGTAAAAACTGTGCTCCAGGCCAGGACCATTTTGATTATGGTGATTGGTAGAACAAAATTTTGGTAACTAGATTTGTGGCAACAACCAAAAAAATTTTTTATATGTATTAATTGGTCATAAAGCAATTTGTTACTTGGAGTTTATGGTGTAAAATGAGTTAAAAATTTTCTTAAAATAAGTTATTGGAAATTTAGCACAAAATGACCTTTTCTCTTTTTTTTTTATTCAGATTATTTATTTTTACTCAAAAGGGATATTTAAGGGAATCTAATTTTGGTCAAAAAGGTGTGGGTTTATCTGATTGATGTGGTGCATAATGTATAATTCTAAATTTATTTTGTGTTTTTGCAGTTCTGTGAGTACCTTCATGGAAATGCAACAGTGCTGAGAGCTGTGGATCAAGCATTTGTGTCATTCTACAACAGCATCAAAACAGACTCTTTGATTTCTTTGGTAAGAGTGACAATGTTCCTACAGGTCAGAACAGATTATTGAAAAGAAAAATTAACATAAGTGCATGTCGCTCATAGCTCTGGCCTCATACGATGGACATTGTGGAAAATGATGGACTGGTAATAGTTTAATGGGTGACTGAAATAAACAAAAGGAAACAAACTTATAGATTCACAGTAAAACTTCATGTGCACAATGAAGATGTCTGTGCACTTTTTCTTCCTTATTTCGGATCATTGCATATTGATTGAGAAGAAACATCTTACTCATTACTTTTAATAGTGTGTAATGATGTAGATTATTTTTGCCATGTCAGTAGATCCAGTGGTAGCTCTTGGAGGAAGGGTCTGGGGAACTTTATCCACCTCATTAGATTTGTGGGTATTTTTGGTCCCCCCCCCCCCCCCCCCCCCCCCCCCACCTCAACCTCATGGAAAATTTCTGGATCTGCACCTAACTTGTGTGTGCTGGTATATAGTTTGAAAGAGTATTTTATTCAAATAACTAATCAATTTTACTGTTTTTGTCCCTCTAGGAAACCATTCCTGGTTTTTATGATTTTTCTGAAGCATTTCATAAATACAGCAACTATTTAAAGAAGCTTCTTCCTTACTTTGTGTTGAGGTAAGGGGTTTTGATTTTATTGTCA